CTACAGCTGCTGCTCTCGCTCACCATTATAAGTACGTGCTGCTTACTAGCTAGGCGCGCAATTTATAGAGCCATAGAGTAAGATTGGAGCTAGGGTTGTGGGCGCGCGTGGCTTGCGAGGGCAGCCTCAGCGAGTCGCCAGGGCTCCCTAGCTATAGGACTTGGACTTGCACGTAGGAATTAGGGAAGAGAAACAAGAGTCGGCAGACGACGTAGCGAGCGGCGATAGGTGGCGGCAATGGCTGATATAGCTAGGGGACGAAGCGGAGCTGCGCGCGGAAGCGGAGAGGGCCAGCAGCGGGCGGGGAGAAGGGGCGGGCGGCGCTGCCGGGGAGGAAGAGTGGGAGGGCTTCGGCGGAAGAGCACAGCACAGGAGGAGAAGACCGGTGGGCGATGGGGCGACGGGGAAGAAGACTGAGCTCTGTGGCCCGGCCGTGGGGAGTTGGAAAAACAGAAAAAGAGTCCTGACGGAGTGAGACCCATCACGCCAGCTTGGGTACTGTGGTGCGGGGAGTCCAATCCATCCATCTGTTTCATTCTCTTATAATTCGTATTTTTCAGCTTTTTTATTTAATTAGAATAGTATTTTTTTATAAAAAATTAGTCAAAACTATATTTTAATTTATTTTTTCAACGAAACGAACCGGCCCACGACTGGTTGGTGAGACGAATCAGCAGCGACAGTGATTCAATTCAATGCAGATTTCAGCAGGCGTGCACTGCACGATCCATCATGCATATATGCATGCACTACGATCCTTGCGTTTATATGCATGGCTGGATTAGATTCAGATTTCAGCAGGAGGATCCGTTGGATGGTGCCTACTGTCGCCTACGACCAGGTAGCTGCAGAGCACAGACGAAGGTGTCGTCGAGGTGAGAGCGCTTGCGGATGGATCGACCCGAATTTATGACCATCCATGAATCGATCTGGAGGTGCATACGCAGCCTGCTCACTTGTTATATTTAGTTTATAAGTTATGTCTTATTAATCAATAAATAGTATTTTTCTCTCACATTAAACTAATTAGTACTTTCAATTATAGCTTATAAGACTAACCCGCCCAAACAAACATGGCGACGGTGATTTAGGACCGGGTGCATCACGAGTGACGACGGTACATCGGGGGACAAAAGGCAGGAATTTGGAGCAGCAGCAGCCTGCTGGCCCGCCCCGCTGGCCCGCCCACACACTTCTGGCGTAGTGCTTCCACTTGCGCGCCAGCAGCAGTGTGTTCCTGCCGCTCGGTCACCACACCTACTCTTATCGACACTGTTTCATCAATCGGGTATCCTTTCAACGACCACGATCCAAAATACGAGATATATTTATTTTTTAAGTAACGCTACAAGTAAAATGTTTAATATCTATTTTTATCTTATTCAACAATAAAACCTAAAAAAATAACTCTTTCTACAAATAGGTCTTCAGGAGAGAGGATACTCAGATTTAGGTTATGGCTCTCCCGGCACAAAAAATGGGTCTTCTATATATATACTCTGTTGGAGGCTATAGGTATTGTGTCGAAGACCCATTTTAAAAATTCAATACATATTTTTAGTCTTCTCCAACAATAAGACCCAAGAGACAACCTTTTCAGTAAAGAGGATACTCAGATTTAGGTTATACCTCTCTCGGCATCTAAAATAGGTCTTCCATATAGATCATCTGTTAAAGGCTATAACTATTATGTCGGAAATCTATTTTAAATTTGATTCCGTGATGAATGTCCCGTCGGAGAAAGCGGCCATAATGCCGTTCTACTGTCGCCGCCGCAGATGCTTGGACGATGGATCCGATCAGGAGATCTTCCTTTTCGGTATCATGACTGCTATCACAGTGACAGAGCATATGCATGGTTTCTTGAGCGCTTCCGCAACGTTCCAAGTTGACGTGCTGCCCCAGCCTCCACCTGTGCATCAAGATTCCATGTCTTACAGTTTGGTGGTCTCAAAAGTGGTCAGGGTATCCTGCAGAGGAACTATTCAGCCTATTCATTTATTAGTTTTAACTAGAGTTTATTAGTTATTTAATAATTTTTTTTTTACAACTACACAGCTTTTTTTTTTTGTTGCCTGCTAGGAGTATACGGATACGGCTACACCCCAAGACTGCGTGCCGTACTGCCGTGACCTCACAAAGGCAACTGCAGCAATGAAAGGAAAGCGGTCCTCATCTGCCATCAGCTCTCAGATCATTTCCCCCAAAGCGAAATCAGGGTACCCCGTACCCCTCCGTCACCCGACCATCATTTCCAAGCCAAGGGCCGAACGGAGGCGATGCACTGATCGATCCCCAGCGGCCGCTCTCTCTTCTCTACAGGCCAGCCGTCCGATGCCCGGTCTCGTTTAATCATGGGCGGATGCATGCCGATGCCGAGCGGAGGATGGAGGAGCGAGCACCGAGCGGCCCTGCCGTCTGCCGAGGCCGCTGTTGTGCTTCTGCATGCCCAGTACAGTACTGGCACGTACCGCACCGGCCACTGCCAACGGTCCCAAGTGTATGATTGCGGCTGCCCGTCGTCTACGGTCTGCGTACCGCATTCATTCAAGCCTGTGCTGCTTCCTTCCTGCCTGCTTTGACCGGATCGGACTACATGATGCGGCCGTATCAGGTTTTAGTGCATCAAGTGATGGCCATGAACTGTTTCATATTTATTTTGGGTCGGGTCAGAGGTATGTTCAGTTCCTCCGATACTAAAATGCACAATCCCGATTGTTGTGAGAGAAATCATTACGGCTTTGCAGGATATGAACACCCACGGATTTTGTTAGAGAAAAAAAAAAGCGTGGTGATGATCTTAAAGCCGTTCACCAACAAGCCGTGTTTGATGTATGTCAGTTCCTCCGATACTAAAATGCACAATCCCGGCAGGAGGATCATTACGGCTTTGCAGGCATGAACACCCACGGAGCTCAACAGCTTAATAAAAGCGTGGTGATGATCATACGTTCATGGCCTAGTCACGTTTTTTTTATAAAACACATATATTATATTAGTGGAGCAGCCAGATTACACATAAACCCTCAGCAGAGGATCGAGATACATTGAGGAGTATGCATAGACACACGTTTGCCTCCACGTGTCTTGACAATCGCAGCATCAAGGGACATGTAGTCCAAACCCTGAAAGAGGGCAGATTCACCGACATCGTCGTGCCCAGCAAATTCACCGACATCATCATCCTGCAAGCACTGTTCGCCAACTCTGCAAGTCGCCGGTGGGGGTTACCAGAGGCGTCACACACGCATGGAACCAGGATGGAAGGACCTCACTAAGCGAAAGTTTATAGTGGTTGAAGTTGCCATCGTTGATGAACTTGTTCGACAAACCAAAGATAAAGTTGGAGCGGTCAAAGGATGATAGATCGACATCCTCAGAGCCGGTGGATGGCTCGTTTGAGGAGAGGCATTGAAGGGGCCGCATATACGACCCTGACGAAGTTTGACTCCGCTTGAACTGGTGGAGGGGAAGATGTTAGATTCAGTCGATCTCCATGGGTAGGTGCTGAAGGTGGCATCGTGGCTGCCATGCCCGTAGCATAAACGGCAAGATCCCAACCGGAATTGCCCAAGATGGCTACTGGGAACAACCGGCATGACGCTGTCCATGGTGAAGACTGGTCACCAACAGAAGAGGACTGGATCTGGGACGAGATGCAACAAAAACTTATTTTATTGAAGCTCTCACATTCGCGGCAACCAGGGACGAAGACGCAACTGAAGAGGAACACCACGACGATAGCGTCGCAGACCAAAAGGCTCCAAGATAGGGAGAAGAAGACGCTCATCTGAACCATTCTCAAACACCACTACTACTACTCTAAGAACTGGGTTGAGGGGGGCCGGTCCACCTCCCCACGGCACCGGCACGAGCGCCGGCTGGAGAAGGGAAGGGGGCAGGAGCTCTACTTCCTCTCTAGTAGGCCCCGTGGCTTGCCTCATTTATGACCTAGTCAAGCTATCTTCAACAACAACATCCAAAATACAAGACATATTCGTCATTTGGTAGCGCTACAGGCAAAAGGTTCAATACCTATTCGGTATCTTCTCCAACAACAAGACCCAAAAGAGAATCCTTTCTGCAATTGAGTTTCCAGGAGAGATGATGTCTATATTTGGATTGTGCCTATCAGACAACCCAAAATAGGTCTCCCGTATAGGTACTCTGTTGGAGGCTGATTTTGGGTCTCTTACTACCCATTTTAGGTTTGGGTGCCCATATAAGTTCCTTGTTGGAGACAGTCTCATGTTATCCTATGCCTTGGAACCATGATGCCATAATTTTTTTTAGACCTAGCACAACAGTTTTTTTTAATACTTCATAAGTTATAAGTTCTTTTAGCGTTGTTAAGCCAAACTTGTCTATAATTGTTCAAAATTATAAAAAATTCACAAGCATATGAAGACATTCAAATTTGGTTTATCATCATCCATGGCCTCCACTGATTTCAGTCATTGAACTGATACCGGTTAGAATCTTGTTTTCATCGGCACCGTTAGGCTCTGTTGCATTTGAAATATTTGAATGCATCATACTAATGAATCTAGAGAAGTATAAGATGGATTATTCCTCATCGTTCAATGCACATATTTATCTACCCACTGTTTTCATAGTTTGTTCCTTGACATCGTCCAAGTGCCGTGTAATCACGTTGCCATCTACAAAAGTTTTTATTTGTGTCCACGCGTGTAGCTTCATTGATCAGGTATCTGCAGTCAAGGTATCTCTGCAGTCAGGTTGCCATCTACAAAAGTATCAACATTTAAATATTTTGAATAGTAAATAAACATATCGTATGATTAATATAATGATATATATTTCATATTATAAATAGTAGTATCTCTTTTGTATATATTTGGTTGACAAACGTGATGTGTACTAGGCTCCAATCAATCGCCCGCTAATCAAGTAATATCAGTGGTCTACCTGATCCCTGCCCAACAACAAGCTAGTATCAGGCTATCAAGCATAAGCGTTTCAGAATTTTCGATTCACCCATGGATTGGTCCGCCATCATCTATGCCACTGTCCTTCTGCTTGTTTTGCTGCCGCGGAGTGCTTCCGACGACCGGCTAGTCCTGGGCAAGCCGCTCGTTCCCGGCACCACCATCGTCTCAGACGGCAGCGTCTTCGCGCTGGGTTTCTTCTCCCTCGCCGATTCCACTCCTGCCAATCTGTACCTTGGCATATGGTACAACGACATCCCCAGGCTCACCGCCGTGTGGGTCGCCAACAGAGGAAACCCGGCCACAAGCGGCACCTCCTCCGCACCACCAGCGCTGACCCTGACCAATTCCTCCAACCTCATCCTGTCCGACGCCAGCGGTCGAGTTCTCTGGACGACCAACGTCACCGGTGTCTCGGGTTCAGCAGCCACCGCGGTGCTCCTCAACACCGGCAACCTCGTCATCCGATCTCCGAACGGAACCACCGCATGGCAGAGCTTCGAGCACCCGGGCGACACGTTCCTCCCCGGCATGAAGATCCGGGTCAGGTACAGGTCTCGAGACGGCGAGCGCCTAGTTTCTTGGCAAGGCGCTGACGACCCCTCGCCGGGGAGCTTCACCTTCGGCATGGACCCGGGCACGCTCATGCAGGCCTTCATCTGGAACGGGACGAGTCCGGTGGCGCGCACCACCCCGTGGACGGGCTACGCGACCATCAGTGGCCAGTTCCAGGTGAACTCCAGCTCCAGCGTCGTCATGGTTTCCCTGGCGGTCGTCAGAACCGAGGAAGAGATGTATCTAGCCTACAGCCTCCCCGACGGCAGCGCGCACACCAGGTTCGTGTTGACTTATTCCGGCGAATACCAGCTCCAGAGCTGGGGATCGTCGGACTGGGCTGTCGTCGGCAAGTGGCCGGCCAACGAGTGCGACTTGTACGGCCAGTGTGACCCGTACGGTTACTGCGACGGCACGGTGACTGCCCCGACGACTCCGACGTGCAAGTGCCTCGATGGTTGCGAGCCGGCGAGCCTGGAGGAGTGGAGCAGAGGCAGGTTTTCCCAGGGGTGCCCGCGGAAGGAGGCCCTGCGGTGTGGTGGTTTCGTGGCCTTGCCGGGGATAAAACCGCCGGACAAGTTCGTGCTCGTTGAGAACCGGACCTCCGAGGAATGCGCCATGGACTGCGCCAACAACTTCTCCTGCGTGGCGTACGCCTATGCCAACTTGAGCAGCAGAGGCACGATGGGCGGGATGAGGTGCTTGGTGTGGTCCGGGGAGTTGATTGACACAGAGAGGGTGGGTGATACTGCTGGCAGTGACACGCTGTACATCCGGACTGCAGGCTTCGATGCTGGTGTGCTATTCATCTCATCTCATCTCATCTGTCTATAATTCTATATATAGATAAACTTAATTTGATCCTTGCATTGGTTATCTGTGCTACATTATTCATGCATAGATTTTTCACTGCAATGGCTTTGCACAGTAACAAGGCCAAAGAACAGCGCTGTAAAGATTGTGCTTCCTGCAGTTTTGTTAAGTGGCATTCTGATACTCACAGTCACAGGCACTTCCCTTGCATGGTTCAAGTTCAAAGGTATTGACTCTACTTCTCTACGCTTCGATATTGTATTGTACTCACCAGAGGGGTCAGAGGAATTGGTTTTTGCACTACTATTCTACATTATTACTGTCACATAAGAAAAAAAAGAAACTTTTTTTCTAGAACGTGTCATTAGCACGGTATTCATTAAGCAGAATGAGAGTTTTACAAATTATTAAAACTGGGACGGTAATTTGTGGTTACCGAACCAAACACCGACAGAGCTCACACAGTTGTGATTACAAAAGAAACTACGTAGCGACCGCGTAGAGGACCAAGCAAAGGGACAAACAAACACAGCAAGCCCTAAACCCAGCGGCTAAAAAGCGTCCTGCTCGAAGCCAGTGAGGTTGAATTCTGTCGGATACCATAAAAAGGTGTACCCTAAGAAAGAACCAAAAAAAATTACTTAGACCTTGTAAATAACGAAACCAAAATACAACCGCAGGCAAACCCGCCACATCCAAGGCCCGGCCCACCTCGAACAACATCCAGGCACAACCGAAGCAGGCTCGGCCTAGAACCATACCACAAGGCATCGGACAAGCCACCGATTCTCCGACTCGCCCGAGGCCCTGCGCCACGAGGCCTCGGACGAGCCACCGATTCTCCGATTCGCCAGAGGCCCCGTGCCACGAGGCCTCGGACGAGCACTCAGTTACCGACTTGCTCGAGGCCGTCTCGGCATCAACCCCATCACCGCCGCCTTGACCGATTTCTCTGACAGGATGTCACATCCAACCAACGCGTCCAACCACTCCCGCGACGTCAGTCGCACGACGGCATAGTACAGCGGAGTGACCGACGAGACGGAAGTCACATCAACGCCCTGCCATGCGAGACAAGACGGGGTGGGGGTTATCGGCCGCTGTGCTCATCATTGTGCCCACGACTGACACCCGTGCTACGCTGTGCTACCTAACCCCTGCTCCAAAGACAGCGTGGCGTGGAAAGTCATGCCCGGGTCCCTGTAGCCTCGGAATCGACGCACAAGGCCAACTGCTCTCTCCGAGCCTTGGCTAGCCGCTCCCAGGTTCCTATAGCCTCGGGGCTTGCGCCCGCCGAGCCCCCCACAATGGTTCAGCCTCTGCACCAACTGGGCCTCGGCTCTCTACGTCAACGACGCGCTGGGACCAACACGTCACCCGCAGTACGCGCCACGCCCTGCGTCAGGCTACAGGAGCTCCCACGTCGTACACAGGGCCTAGCCCCTGTAGCTTCGGAATCAGCGTACCCGCGCCGTCGCATCAACCCGGCCTTGGCTCTCCGCGCCGGTCAAACCCACAGTGACCAGCACGTCTCCAACAGAAGAAGGCACGCCTGCCGGGCCACCACAGGAGATCCCACGTCGCACAGGATCGGGCGTGACCGGCGCGTCGCTCCAGTGCACCGAAGACAAAACCGCTCCACCACCATACCGCCACAGTGACAAGCTGCAGGGCTCGGACATGCCACCTCTGCCAAACAGAAACGCCATGTAACAAATACCTGTACCGCCCCCGTGCCTCCCTTCGGCTATAAAAGGGAGTGACCGGGGCCGCTCCTAGGGGGGATACCAGATCAGGTAACACACACACACACCGGTGCAAGCCACGCACAACACTCTGTAACACGCACGCTCCCTCACTGCAAGAGATTAACATCTCAAGCAACCCACGCCACTCCACGTAGAGACCTGGGACTAACTCTCTCTCTCGCCCAGCTTGTAAGCCCCTACTACAAGCACCTCGGTGCAAGGAATACAAGATCGCTCCCTCAGACTGGACGTAGTGCACCTATTGCCTGAACCAGTATAAACCTTGTGTCTCTTTGTATCACCATCCGGGATTAGGAACACGCAGTACACTTTCACTAGTTGGTTGAGGACCCCCCGGTCCAAAACACCGACAAGTTCGATGGCCACCGGATTGAAATCTGGAGCGAAGAGCGCCTGGAGGGCCGCCATCTTGGAGGGCGACAACAGCTCAGCGAAGAAGGCCTTGATACTATCCAATGCCGCAGGCTTCGGACCCTGCGCCATGTCTGTGATCCCTAGCTTTTGCTTCAGCACATTTTGTGCCTGGACAGTCGGGTTGGAGGCCTTGGCCTTAGTAGCAAGCCTCCCACTCCGATGCACCGACAACACCGTTGAAGGTGTCCTAGACCTCCTCAGCCTCGGCTTGCTGATCAAAGGGGTCTCGAGCAGGATGCATACCCGCGCCTCCAATTGTGTCAACAGGGACACATCAGCCAATGGAGGTTGAGCATCATGACCTTCGTCATCAGTCGAAGACCCGCGGCTGGGCCTCAACAGCTCAAGCTCCACAGCTTCCAAATCCGGCACAGGTGTCCGCGCCGCCTCCTACCCAGGGGGGTAGCAACGCGCGGCCAAGTCAGGCGATGCAGAAAGCTGCGCTAGAAGGGGCGACCCTCCTGCTGGGACCCCCACACCGAAGGCTTCTCCATGATGACCAACCCCTCGGAGTGCATGGGATCCCATCGCTCATGGGCCAGCACGGCCTGCATCTCGAAGCGATGGGGTCGAAGAAGTCGTCGAAGGAGACCTGAGGCAGGGTAGGAGTGCACGACAACCTCGCCTGCAGCAGGAATCTCGGATGGGGCATGGGGCGTCGACGAGTCTGCGGGCAACCCAGAGGTGGCCATGACGGTAACGCTGCCGAAGCAAAGCGAGCCAGTCCACAACCATGCTCTGCCACCCAGCAAACATACACCCATCAACGGCGAGGAGTGGCATGTGGAGGCGGTAGCGACAACGTTGGACCTCGACCGCTTGCAGTCCCGCGCTATGTGCCCAAACCCGCGGCAGCGCAGGCAGCAGCGGTGGAGCCAGCAGGTGGCCACCCGGTGAGTCCGGGATAGACAGTTGAAGCACCTGCCCCGAAAAAAAAAGAAACATTCATGACATTTTGGAAGCAGGTAAAAAACAAAAAGAGGGAAAGAACAAGACGTTGTCCGTCCTTGGAAACCTGAATACTTCATAGTACTCTGGAGAAAGAAATCCTACTGAAGGCTTTATATTTCTAGCTGTAAGCTTCCAAGATATCACAGCTGTGACAAATAACTTTGACAGATCATTTATCATTGGACAAGGAGGTTTTGGCAAAGTTTACAAGGTACTTATCTATTTTATTAATTTTCACCCTGCAAAATTGTAATCGCACTAACACTAAATTAATGTCTTAATTCATTTTTCACTTCAATTTTACAAGGTGACGCTAGATGTTCGAGAAGTTGCCATCAAAAGGCTCAGCAAGGATTCCGCACAAGGGATAGCGGAATTCAGAAATGAAGTTGTTTTAGTTGCCAAACTGCAGCACAAAAATTTGGTTAGCTTTATCAGTTGCTGCATCGAGGGAGACGAAAAGCTTCTGGTGTTTGAGTACATGCCTAACAAAAGCTTAGATGCTCTGCTTTTCAGTATGATCTAACAGTAGCACATTACAGCTTCAGGGTTCAACATAACCGATTGATCACTACTTATGGGATATAGTTGCCTTTATTTGTAGGCAGTACAAGGAAGTTAGAGTTAGATTGACCAACATGGTTCAACATAATCAAAGGAGTTGCTAAAGGGCTTCTATACCTCCATCAAGATTCAAGGCTGAGGATAATTCACAGAGATCTCAAAGCAAGCAATGTTTTGCTGGATGAAAAGATGGAGACCCAAGATAGCAGACTTTGGTATGGCAAGGATGTTTGGCGACAACCAATATGACGCAAACACGAAGAGAGTCGTTGGAACATAGTGAGTAGTTTTTTTTCCTGAAATTATCACCACTTTAACCTAATTCACAGAAAAATACCTACTCCATTATTCTTCGTGGTAAAAATACCTGCAGCGGCTACATGGCTCCTGAATATTCAATGAGAGGCATATTTTCTGTCAAGTCTGATGTGTATAGCTTTGGTGTGTTGATGTTGAAAATCGTAAGTGGTGTGAAGATAAGCTCAACTGATCACACAATAGACTTCGAAAACCTTATAGTATATGTGAGTATAAGCTTTTCTGAATTTTGTAAGAACTTTATAATAAAGTTCCACAACCTCAATTATTGTGTTGGTTTATATCCAGGCATGGAATCTATGGAAGAAAGGGCAGGCAAAGGATTTGATAGACTCAAGTATAATGCAGAGCTGCGTACCTGCTGAAGCTTTGCTTTGCATCCACATAGGCCTTCTATGTGTGCAGGATAACCCCAACGAGAGGCCACTTATGTCATCTGTGGTGTTCATCTTGGAGAATGGAAATAGCACACTCGCCATTCCAAATAAACCTGCATATTTTGCACATACTTATAATAACAAAGTAAAACAGGTAAGAGGCACTACTCAGAACTCAAAGAACAGTGTAACTCTTTCAACTTTAGAGGGAAGGTAGGCCGTTTTCTCCACATATATGACAATCATTTGATAAAGAACTGGGGTTATGTAAATCTGCATTGTTAATGCGATCAAATTTGGCGTACTAGCTAATGTTACATTGGGCCTGATTTGAACACTGTGCAAGTTTGCAGAAGACTCTTACGTGCTAATGCAGGCAACCAGCAATCAGGCCCTACGCGTTTCTCAAATCTCAATCTTCTCTGTGAAAAATGACGTAGCCCTGATTATTTTTGTCAGGGTCAATCACTAAGCAAAGCACTCTGACGTCATTGCTTGTACGACCAAGTCTCACTGCAGCCATTCCTAATCGATCGAGAATATAATTTGGCCGGACATTTATCCGCACCCATGTTCACATGATCATCTAGCTTCGCCTTGTAAATTGAAGCGGCTATATGTCCGGTGAGCTCTAAAATTTTATAGTTCAATATATTCATTTGAAATCATTTGTATGCTTAAATATTTAATATAAGATTCGCTAAAGTTAATATAAAAGGATAATATCATTCACTTGGTCATAAGTGAAGGAGAGGCTCGTGTGAGGGAAGAAGTTCTGAGTTTGAATACCAGGAACCGCACATGTGAGACTTGCGACCACGACGGATTTCTTTCGAAATTAAAAAGACATCTACAAATTGATTTCTAGTAGCGGTCAAAAACGTGGTCTACTTCTAAAAAATCATTTTAAAGAAGTGGTTGCATACCCAACCCTATAAACCTTTGATGATTTCTAGAGATCCTTGAGTAGAGGCGGTTTGCTGCAAATTTTTTTTTTTGAAACAATGACAGAAGCTCTGCATTTCAATTAAGACGAATGAAGTTTATATACAAGCAAAAGGTAGCCAAAGCGTGGCGCCAAACACCACGAAAGGTTACCCACCCACGCAACGTGACCGAGTACACACTACCATGAGTCATCGTTGCCGAGCATAGTTGCAAAGCAGCTAGCAGCTCCGACTTCCCATGGCAAAACACCGACAACCCATCATAAGATGTCAGACCAACGGGCCCGAAGCAGTAGGCTGCAGCAGGTCAACGTTGCCGAGCTCAACGGCCCGTGAAGAGCAGCTCCGACTTCCTGCCATGATCCCACGCCCCGCCCGCGGCAATTGCAGAGCCTCTAAAGCTGAAAACCCAGCCGTCGGAGAAGGAGGGTTCGACACGCGTCATCGTTGCCGAGCTACATCCCCTGATGCAGCAGCTCGACTTCGCGATGCAGAACTCGCCGTCTCGCATCAACCAGCGCCGAGAGGTGGAGGACATCCGCCGAAGGAGACAACATGGCCGAGACGAAATATCACAGCGACGCCTTCAGGAAGGGTACGACGCCGAATGCGTCGCCGTCGCTTGTCCAGGAAAGGACCGGGTTTTCACCCGTGGAAGACATGGCTGGGGGCACAAGAACACGACGCCCCCACAAAAGAAAAGCGGCGCCACAAAGCGCGCCGCCGCCAAGGCTTTCGCCCGAGGTGCCCCTAGCACATACATCGAGCCAAGATCTTTGGACCGTAGCTGCCGCCACCGTCGTCGTCCATCGCCATCCCGCGAAGCTTCTCGAGAGGGGCATCGACGCGCCGGCGGCACACACAGCAACAGCCAGACGCCGCGGTGCGTCGACCACCACCCCCTCCGATCGGGCAACATGCAGAACTGGACTTACCCTGCCACGCGCGTCACCCTGCCGCACGCTGAAGCCGTCGCCAACTACCGTCGCCGGCATAAGCACCCGCCATCGACGCTGCCAACCTCCGCCAGCCACCGTCAGGCGCATGCCCCACCACGGGCGCCGCCCCCTGCCCCGGGGGCACCGGATGTGGCCGTGGCGCCAGATCCAGTGTCCCCAGCAGGCGCCGCCACCTCCACGCCAAGGTTGAGGAGGAAAGGGGGAAGCGGAGGAGGAAAAACGAGTCCACGCCACCGCCCGGCGCCTGCACAAGCACTGGCCAGCACTGTCGCAGCCGCAGCAGGTTGCCCCGCCGAGCCCCATAAGGCTCGCGCGAGGGCACGCCCCGCCGCCCCGCTACAGTCCATGCCGCCAACACTGCCGAGCTCGAGGAAGAGGAAGAGGCCCGCCCCAGGCTGACGCAGCCGCCACCGCGCACGCCCCTGGGCGCAGCGCCCCGAACCCCGCGGATCCGGCGACAGCGCGGCGCCATGGACAGGAGCCTGCCGGAGATCCGCGGATCCGGTCGCCGACGCGAGGAGGCCGCCGCCGAAGACGCCGGCGCCGCCCCCAGCCTTAGCGACCTCGCCGACCCCCAGGAAGCCGCACGCGAGCTCGTCCTCGACCGTCACAGCTCCCACCGCGAAGAAGAGCCTCGCCGCCGCCCTCCCGGCAAGCCGCACGGCCATGCCGGCGGCCCGCTCCGACGACGGCGCGGCTGGAGAGAGGGAGGGAAGGAAGAGAGGCGCTAGGTTTTGGGTTCGCCTCCCGTGTCGCTGCGTGGGGGCGACGCGGGGCCGGGGGGGTTCGGTCCCAGCTTCCTGTCTTGCTTTTTTTTGCTGCAAACCTAATCTGACTACTTCTAAATACTTTGTATAGTAGTGCTATAAGTCAACCGCTGTAATTACTGTAGCTTGTACGGTGCGACAACCGACAACATGGAGTCTCCCTAGCAGATTTCGAGGCTACCAGCTTGGAAGACTGGAAGTCTGGAACAATGCCAGATTCTCATAGGGATGCTGGCGAAAAGAGATGTTAAGACACGCTAGCAACCTTCATCATGGACGGGCTCGTGAAATGAAGAAGAAAGTTTCAACATTCTAGAAGAAAGGATGAAGATTAAAGAAGTGAAGAAAATGATGTTGTAATATATACACTTTCATTGCAATATATACATTATTGTAATATTTGTTTTATAAAATCTTGATGGATGTGTGATGCATGTGATGCTTTAAATACCCAGTCCAGTAACCATATAGTAGGAAATAAAAAGTATTACACAAGAATAATAAAATTAATTAATAAACCAGAATATGGGAAAATCATATCACTGTCGGGTCTAAACCTAAAGCCGACTCAACTACAAATGCGACAATGATCTTAAGGGTACACTGCCGGTGGCACTGCAAGCCGAAAATGTTACTTAACAAATCACAGCTGGTTCTAATCCTAACCCAGCATGATCTTTAAGACCACATCACTGCTGGTTTAGGAATATAACCAATAGTGATGTTCGATATTACTGCCGGGTTAGGGGAACCGGTAGTGGTAGAAAAACCCTATCACTGCCACTTGCACACTGCCGGCTCATTTTTCGGCACTGATAAGGGGTTGAGACCCGGAAGTGATTAGCTGTGTTCTGAGGTACTGCCAAATGGTGATAGTAACTTCCAAAGTTTAGTTCATTCTAAAAAGATCAACACAAGACATCATAGATAGTTGCCACTAGTTCTCAAAATATAACATCACACCATAGGTAGAGTTCTTTAACATAACATGAAGATAGTCAAACTTAGCATGGAGTATTTGCTGCTTTGCTCCCCTACTCTAAGTCATCAACAAATATGGCTTGAATAACACATGGCGTATAGAATACAAGAGCGCTAAGACCAACAACACCTAGCCCTATACCCATGTTGCTCTTCCTTCTCAACTTTGCAATTTCCTCCATATCATGCCTTCAGGAGTACAAAAAGGGCCATGAAAAGATACGGATGCAGGTTAGTTTTATCTTGAATGTGTGTGTGTTTGTTTGGGGGGGTCATAATATGTTCAGAAGAATACTAGGACTTTTACCGTTTTGCTTCTTTCATCATTTCAGCGAAGGATCCAATCCGCCCTTCACGAGAACATTTGCAGCATTGCTTCTCCTAAAAATTGGTAACTGATAAACCTCAGGTTCCATTATTCTCACATCAACTTAAACCGATTGCACCCTGATGAAAACATGCATTATAATCTCACTCAACTTGCATGTGCAGTTTTAGCCATTACATTCATCACTCATCAGGTGTTATCTAGCTTTATAAACAATCACAGTTTGAACAAATTACTTCACTGAAACAAGCAAGCTAGAAAGGAGTAAGCATGC